ACTGTATATCCAACATCATCCTCTCCTCAGGTAGACAAAGGATATCATATGCAAAGAACAAATGTGTAATCTCTATATGTTGCTCCCCTCTTCCCACCATTACCCCTTTTACCAACTCAAACTTCCTGGCTCTCTCCAGCAACGAACACCTCCATAACAATTATAAATAATAAGAGGGAGAGAAGATCTCTCTATCTTAGGCCTTTAGTTGCCTTAAAGAAAGAAGAAGAGCTGCCATTTACCATCACAACAAAAGATGGTTTAGTTATGCATGCCCTCATCCATCTCCTCCATCACTTATTCTCAAACTTAATCTACCCAACATATAATCCACAAACTTCCAATTCACATGATCATACGCCTTCTCCATATCTAACTTGCACAAAGCTCCTTCCCTCTTGTTACCCACCAAGTCATCCACCACTTCGTTTGCCATCATCACACTTCCAACATCTATCTGCCCTCCACAAAAGCCTGCTGACGCTCCTTGATCACTTTCACCTAACATCTTGGACAAATGTCTAGCCAGAACTTTAGAGATAAGCTTGTAAACGCATCCTACCAAACTGATGGATTGAAAATCTTTGATGTGTTTTGCTCCTTCCATCTCAGCAATAAAAACTACAAAGGTTGCATTAAGTGATTTTACAAAGGAGCCTAACTCATGCAACTCTCTAAAAATTGCTACCAGTCTTCTTTTAAAATATGCCAAAACTCTTGCAGAAACCTCACGTTAAAATCGTTTGGCCCTGTTGCTTTATCTCCATTGTATTGCTTGAGCCCATCGTAGATTTCCTCTTTAGAGAAATCCCTCTCCAACTCAATTCTATTGTTCTATCTCATCTCCTTGAATTGCAAACCATCCAGCCTTGATCTTCTATCAACCTCTTCTTTGTACAGGTTATGAAAATAGTCTTGTGCTTTTTCTCTCATATTATCATTACCCCATAGTCAACCACAATTATGTAGTTAATATAGAAAAAGATATAAAGTATTTTCCAATTTTTCAAACTATAACCCATTGTGAAAACAAATATAAGAGACTTGTCATTTACGAGGAATGTTGCAAAAATCTTGTTTCAATATATACAGTTAAACGACTCGATCTTTGAATGCAATCAACAACCTTACTAACTAGCATGAATCAATAAATCGAGCATTTTGGTAACTCAACAAAGTATTGTTTCTACTCTTCACAGTACTCATAGTAATCCAAACTTGAGTTATGTAGTTCCTATGATGTTCACACATATTCTTCTAGGTCAACCTTGACTTTATGATCAGAAAGCTCAGTATGATGAGATTGCTAATACTTATCGTTTTATACATGACATAAAAGATATAGTTTTAAAGTTTCTAATTACATAAGAGATGAATAAATATAAAGGTCTAGAAGCACCTACTGTCGGTGGAAAAGATAAAGAAAAACTCGTTGAAGTTGAGAAACAAGAACTGTCATGTCTTCCCAAAAGTAAATTTCTTGAGGTAATTCAAATCTTTCACTACTTAAGGAGAGTTCTACGTAAATTTAATCCAATGAGGAACTTAAGCTAAGAATTGGGACTAATGATGTTCAACTCAAGGATAAAGTTGAAATGCAAATTGGTCAATATATTAATTTGATCCTACCACCAAGATTTTTAACTCATAAACAGTTACATATTCCCATCATGCTTACGGTCAAAGAGAATGAATAATCAAGTGTCCAAACTCTTTAGGACTTTTATTATTCATATGATTAATATGCTTTAAAAAAATGAGTGTCCAGTTCAGACTCTCCCAACAAGAATAAATGACTCTCTCATGTGAAATATCCAAAGTCCATGATTGGAAGGACTCTTTTGTTCGTTTGCTTGTAATCAACTTGG